TTAATATAGGAATTTAAGCTGACACTGTAAAAAACTTGGATATGTGAATGATTCAACCATCATAACACTGTTCCAGTAGACACACCTGTACATCCCTGTAGGAGGGGTCAACCAAAAATCACTCTCAGTTTCATTTTCATGTTAGCTCTGGCCATTATGGTTCAATGGTTCAATCAATTTCTATAAGTTAAGGGCAGCTTTACAATATATTGACTGGCATAAACCCTTTAGTGAAAAGAACACTGAGGATAAATGGAACATCTTCCAACAAATATTAGAAAGGTACATTTCTCAGTATGTACCATTGGGTAATAAATATAAAAGAAACAAATTAAAACCAATGTGGCTTAGTAGAGAAGTAAAACGAGCTTAAAAATAAGAAAAGGGCATTTAAAGCATTTAAATAGGACAAATCAGATGCATCCTATAAAAGATATAAGGAAGCCAATAATGCGTGCAAAAAGGCAATTAGATTTGCTAAACTTCAAAATGATAGCCAAAGAGAGAAAAACCAACCCCAAAGCATTCTTTAAGTACATAAATTCTAAAAAAAAAAAAAAAAATGAAAGTGTCGGGACACTAAAAACTGAAATGGGGTTGTTAGTTAATGAAGACCAGGAAAAGGCAGGAATTGTAAATAACTATTTCTCCTCCGTATATATTAAAAAAGAACCCATGGCAATAGATGTGCAAATGATTGCTACTAAAAACTTGCAGAATAATTGTAATTGATTAACTCAAGACAAAGTGCTGAAGCAACTAAAGAAAGTTAATATAAACAAAGCTCTAGGGCCTGACGGTATCCATCCACGAGTACTTAAGGAACTAAGTGTAGAAATAAGTGAACCTCTGTTTTTAATCTTTCAATATTCTTTTCTTTCAGGAAGTGTTCCGGAGGATTGGAGGAAGGCAGATGTGATTCCTATATTCAAAAAGGGTTCAAAATCCTTGCCTGGAAATTATAGACCTGTGAGCTTAACTTCTGTGGCTGGGAAAATATTTGAAAGGTTATTAAGGGATAATATTCAAGAATTCCTTGAGAAAAACATGGTTATCAGCAAAAATCAGCATGGTTTTATGAAGCACAGGTCATGTCACACTAACTTGATTGCGTTCTACGAAGAAGTAAGTAGAAGTATAGATCAGGGTGTTGCTGTGGATGTGATCTATTTGGATTTTGCCAAGGCATTTGATACAGTTCCACACAAAAGATTAGTGTTCAAACTCAAGGAAATCGGTCTAGATGAAAATGCTTGTTCTTGGGTAGAACATTGGCTTAAAAATAGAGTACAAAGAGTTGTCATTAATGGTAAATTTTCAAGCTGGACATAGTTGGCAAGTGGTGTCCCTCAGGGTTCTGTTCTGGGAGTGCTTTAAACTGTTTTTTATTTGCCTTCTTTTGGATCAACAGCAAAAAAACAAATGTGAATATGGAAGTGAAAGTTTCATAAGAGCTAGAGGAGGAAGCCATGAACTTTAAAGGACCGCTTTGGGCACCATTTCAACTTCCTGACAATTAAGTTTTTATGGTGATAACAGAATAAATAATGTTCCAGACACTCACGGATAACAGAAATAGCAGCTTTGTTGGGGCAAAAGCAGCAACGTTGGACCCTACCGGGTTTTTATCAAGATTGAAAAAGACCCGGTAGGGTCGAAACCTTGCTGCTATTTTGCATATCTTGAAAGGTAGGCCTGACCAGCCCTGGTTTCAGAGCACCTGGGTTATTTGGTAAGTGTGGTATTCAGTGCTTCTCTACTATTTATGGTGATAACAACTTCATGATAATTAAGTTGTTTTGGAGCAAGGATGTCCCAGACACCATCTTACCTAAAGGTGTTAAAGTGTTAGTGAATGGTTTAACCCCAAAGTCTGCTCTGTCCCTGCATTTCCGCTCAATGTCTGAGGCTTCAATCAGGAAGCTCGACGCTAAAGTGTACTAGTAGCTTCTCATTGAGTAAAATGAGTAACCACCTTTTAGTGGCACTTGGTTCCATTGATCGGAAGTGCAGGGGTGAATAATTGGGTACCTGCTTGCAAACTTTGTAGATAAGACAGCACCCGGAGTGTCCCTTTAATTGTATATTAAGAAAGGTGTTCATAGTGGTCAAACAGTACATAACTATGAAAAAAACTATTCAGCATATAAAAGACAACTTTTAGAACTACTGACGGAAACATTGAAACATGAACTTATTTTGAAAGTAGGGGAGTGGAAGGCTCCTGTTGAAGCCACATACTAAGAAATAGAAAGTGTGTGTACCACTTCTATTTTCATTTACAAAATGGACATACACAAATAATATTTAAAGGTGCTCAAAAGGTAATTTTTTTGTAATACATCTTTTTATTAGGAATGTCAGATATTATTACATACACTGGTAGCATATATAATAGAATGTGTTAATATAAATTAAACACGATCACAGTGTGCTATATATACAGATAAAAAGTTATGCACCCACAGTGTACACAAAAAGTATACTTAATATATTGGTACAGCAATAGTTCAATACCAGTACCAGTATATTAAGTATACTTTGTGTACACTGTGGGTGTATAACTTTTTATCTGTATATATTTGACTGGAAGGTGATAGGGCAGTACACCTATGTTGCACCCACTTCCTATTAATATTTGCGTTTGAAGCGCCAACAGAACCTCTTTTCTATTTTTATACAGTGTGTTATATGTTATGACAATCAACACTCCAAATCAATTTTCACAAAAATATAATCCATAAAATTTTATATTTGGCGAATCAGTGAATGTGATTGTAAGAAAAATCTACTTTTTTTTTATGTATCCTTTCCATGTTATTTTTAGATGAAGATATTAGTTTGACATTGACTCACAATCTACACAAAAATATGGTGTTCAAAAATATGGTGTATGTATGTGAGCATATAAATATTTGTTCATTTATCACAAGATGCTATTTCAGAAATGATAATGTGTGGGACCATTCCTTTTCCATTATTCATTTGTGTGACAAACGGCCTTGCTATTTTTTTTTACCTTAGGGCATTTTAAATGGAGGCATATCATTGTGTAGCTACATGTTCTGAATGTGAAAGAATACAAAAGAATGCAAAAAACTCTAAACCCCTCACTCCTGGAAAAAAAAATGTAGCACAAAAATGTAAACTTACACAATTTATTTTGTTTGTGTTAGTCATGTGCAAAAATTTTGTCATAAAAGAATTTAAAAAGGTAAATAGTGTAACATTTGCATACAGTGAAAAAGTTCAGTGAAAAAGTGAGTCCAAACAGACCAAAAAATTGCCTGTTACCTAAATGCACTGAGATGTACAATTGATCTTAAAGGGACAATATAGTCACCAAAACGACTACAGCTTGCTGTAATGGTTCCGGTGTCTATAGCAGGCATTTTAATGTAAACACTGCCTATTCATTGAAATCTCTGTGTTTACATTATCACTCAGACGACCACTAGAGGTGCTACCTGGGTCAGTTCTGCACAACTGATGTTCAGCATCTCCACACTTTGCATGGAGACATTGAACATTCACTATAGAGATGCATTGACTCAATGCATTTCTATGAGGGGATGCTGATCGGTGCAGCACAGTGTTTTGTGGCGCACGTGCAATAGTCTCCCAATGCTTTTGTATAGGAAAGCATTGGAATGGCTGAGATAGTCAATTTTGATGATCTCAGCCAAGGAGGTGCATCAGGGATGGAGACCGCGCCGGCAGACCTGTGCAGCGCTGGACTCAAGGTGAATAAACTCACCTTTTACATAGGTTACAGGTGTACCAAGGGGGATAGGGGTGGGGCTAAACAGTGATATTACAGCTATAGTGACAGGAATATATTTTTGCCTTCCTGTCACTATAGTGTTCTTTAAAATAGGCCCAAGTAAAACCAAAACATCTTGTTATGCAATTGTAAACCACATTTTTTAAAAATTTATTTCTATTTTTAAAACCGGTAAGCTCACCAATTTTTTTCTTTGATTTTGCATATTGCATATACTTGTTTGAATGTTTTAATAATTAAAATGTAAAACCCAAATTCTGTATAATATTAACTGAAGTCTGAGAACCAGCCATGGAACAGGGGAAAGTTTTGACAGATATAAAAAATCTAACTTTATTAATATGTAACTCTAAAAATAACAGGAGTATCAAGAAATGACCAAATACCTTAAACACTTTGACATACATATATTAATACGCAACCTGAAGATACACACTGGGTAGAGGTATACATTGATCAGTCAGAACATTTAAATCAGGTTAAGTGAATAGCATTGCTTATATCATTACAATGCTCCTATCAACGGGTAAGATATATTAGCAGGGCCGGACTGGGAATTAAAAGCAGGCCTGGAAAAAAAATATTTACCAGCCCCATAATGCGTCGCGCCAGCATAGTGTGCAGATACAGAGTTAGAACAGATAACTTTAAATTAAAAAGTACTTCAACGTAAAAAGCGCACTCATAGGCTTCAAAATAAACAAAAGTGCAGATTTATTTTAAGCAGGCGTGCCTTTGCATGTATTCAATGTTTCAGTCCAACTACCTTGACATATTAAGGAAAGCTTGTTAATGGGACTGAAATGGTGAATGTATGTAGGGCACAACTGTAAATTTTTTTATTTTGAAGTCCTGTGGGTGTGCTCTTCACTTTAAATATGTTATTGTGCTGGAGTATGCACCTAGCAACAAGACTAGGCCAATATCTGCTCATTACATATGGTACATATTAATGAAATTTCTCTGTGTATTATGCATATATAAATGTACATTAATATGTGTAAATATAATATATATATATATATATATATAACTAATATACACATTAATATACATGTCATATACCAGTGACGGATCCAGAGCCTTGTAGATTATTTAAAGAAATATTCCATGCACAATAACCACTACTCCTCTGTGTAGTGGTTATGGTGCCAGGAGTGTCGGCACCCCTTCCCAGAGTAAGTAGTCAACCCGTTTAAGGACAGTTTGACAACTTACCTGGAGTCTGCTGGGATATGGGGCTGTAGTAGGGTATAGGAGCAGTGGTGCAATGTGTGAGGGGTGCAATGTGTGTGAAAGGTTCAGTGTGTGGGTGTGGGGGGCAGTGTGTGAATGTGTATGGTGTGTGTGTGTGGGGGCAGTGTGTGAATGTGTATGGTGTGTGTGTGTAGGGGCAGTGTGTGAATGTGTATGGTGTGTGTGGGGGCAGTGTGTGTATGGGGCTAGAGTTCACTCCTACTACTGCGACAACCAGGAAGTGGTGAGAGTGAACTCTAGCTCCAGGACTAGAGTTCACCCCCATGAGAGCCGGAGCGTTGGCCCGGGTCCTCTCTTTCTCCCCCTCACTGCTCCTCTGTGTCAATGTCTCCCCTCTCCTTCCCAGTCTCTCTCTTCCCCCTCTGCCTCTTTCTTCCCCTCCCCTTGTGTGTCTCTCTCATTTCTCCCTCTTTGTCTCTCTCTTCCCCCTCTGACTCTTTCACTCCCTTTTCCTGTGTCTCTCCCTCCAACCCATCTCTCTCCCTCCCCCCCTTTCCCTGTGTCTCTCCCTCCAACCCATCTCTCCCCCTTTCCCCGTGTCTCTCCCCTCTCCCCATCACCCTCCCTCCCTCTTTCCCTGTGTCTCTCCGATCTCCCTCCCTCCCCCCTCTCTCTATTCCCCTCACCATCTCTCCCCCCCCAATTTACCTTAGAGAAGGCAGGGGGGCCGGCCGCATTCCAGACTGGAGCCGCCGGGCCAGGTGGCATCTTTGCCGGTCCGGCGGCACTGGTGTCACTGATGGCTGAAGGAGGAGGAGCCTGTCTACCATGCTCCCTCGCGGTTCCCACAATTCCCAGCACAGGAACCGCGAGGGAGCATGGTAGACAGGCTCCTCCTCCTTCAGTCATCAGTGACACCAGTGACTGGAATGCCGCCGGACTGGCGAAGCTGCCACCTGGCCCGGTGGCACCTATGTGGCAGCGCATCCCCCAGGTGCCGCGGCCCACTGGGAAATTTCACGGTATCCCGGTGGGCCAGTCCAGCCCTGTATATTAGGCAGCAAGTGAACAGTTACTTCTTTGTATGTGTTGGAAGCAAGAAAAATGGGCAAGCAAAAAGATACGAATGACTTTGACAAGGGGCGAAAAGTGATAACTAGCATCTCCAAAACGGCAAGTCTTGTGGTGTGTTTCCGGTATACAGTGGTTAGAACCTACCAAAAATGGTGCAAGGAAGGACAATTTGTGAACTGGTATTAGTGTCATGGGGGTGCACGGGGGGCTGCGAAAGCTAGTCCAACTATCCGATCACACAGAAGAGCTAACGTAGCTCGAATTGCATAAAAACGTAATACTGGCCATGATAAAAAGGTGTCTGAATACACGGTGCACTATAGTATGCTCCGTATGGGGCTGCATAGTCACAGACTGGTCAGAGTGCCCATGGTGACTCTTGTTCACTACTGAAAGCGCCTTCAAAGGGGACATGAGTGTCAAAACTGGACTATTAACCATTTTTCGGTCTGATGAATCATGTTTTCTTTTAGATCAGGTTGTTCGCTGGGTGTGTGTGTAATTAACCTGGGGAAGAGCTGGCAGCAGGATGCACTATTGGAAGGTGACATGCTGGCAGAGGCAGTGTTATGCTCTGGGCAATGTTCTGTTGGGAAGCCTTGGGTCTAGAACTAATGTGGATGTTACTTTAGCACGAACCTAGAGATTAGTGCAGACCCCATACACCTCTCTATGGCAATGGTGTACCCTGATGGCAGGGGCCTCTTTCAGCAGGGTAATGCACCCTGCCACACTGGAAAAAAGCTCAGGAATGGTTCGAGGAACATGACAAAGAGTTCAGGGTGTTGCCATGGCCTCCAAATTCCACAGATCTTAATCCAGTTGAGTATCTGTGGGATGTGCTGGAACAACAAACCCGATCCATGGAGGCCCCAACTCGCAGCTTGTACGACTTAAAGGATCTGCTGCTAATGTCTTGGTGCCAGTTACAACAGGATTTGTTCAGAGAACTTGTGGAGTTCATGCCTCAATGCATCAGAGCCATCTTGGCAGCACAAGGGAAACCTACACTATATCAGTCCGGTGGTTTTAATGCTGTGGATGATCAGTGTAGTGCATCAATAGTGCAAAATAACAGGGAACGAAGCTAAAACCAAAACAAAACAGTAGGAATATAGAAAATGACAATATGATAGCTTCACTATCTCTTTTTTTTTTTTTTTATGCTCCATATTAATAAATAAAAATGTTTCAACTTATGGTGGATGATTCATTCTAAATGTTATTGAGTAACACCTGAAAGCTTTCAGATATCCAATATATAAACATATGTATTACAGAGAGGGCCACTGGTATAATGCATGAATGACAATAAAAAGACTCTGAAAGGGATGTTTGCCTCCCACTTCTACTCCAGACCCCAAATACAGCATTCCTCTTTGGGAACTAGAGAGGAAGAGTCCTCCCCCACACTCACTCACAGTTGTGCTTTGTGTGTACACTGTGGGTGTATAACTTTTTATTTGTATATATTTGACTTAAAGGTGATAGGGAAGTACACCTCTGTTGCACCCACTTCCTATTAATATTTGCGTTTGAAGCGCCAACAGAACCTCTTTTCTATTTTTATACAGTGTGTTATATGTTATGACAATCAACACTCCAGCAGGACCTGTCTGACAATTACCACTCACACTCCTGGAATTAAAGAGAAAGCTTTCAGCTCAACAAAGTGAGCGTCTTGAGGTAAAGTGCATTAATGTCTGTATTCTGCTACTTTTGTATGTGTGGATTGAATAATACTTTGCAATACAGCTATTCACTGTTATATAATTCTTTATTTCTCTAATATTTGAAGAGTATTCTTTATTTATCCTACTGAATGCCAATAGATGTGCATGTGCTGAAAGTCTCACTTGCTGAGGTTGGTTTAGATTAGTGGGTGTTCCAGTGTGTGCATCAGGACGGGATGTC